AGAATGGTGCATTGAATGAAACAGTTGGGTACAAGTAGCAAACCCTAGTTGGGGTTGTACCCCATATTGGCTACCCCACTACAGCCTACCAACATATAACACATTACAATTTAACACACTCCTGTCGGCCGACCACACCCAATCAGCTTCCCCAGGTCGGCGTCACCAAGTCGACGCCTCCGATGTCGACCTCGCCATGTCGACCTCTCCGGTGTCCCCAGGCCTCGCCAAGTCAGCGCCCTCCCAAGGTCGGCGCCCGTGCAATGGCCCCCGTGCAGGTTGGCTGCACCCCTCACACCCGACCACGAAGTCGGCTCTTCCCAAGTGAGGACGGGGCCAAGAAACAACTCCCGTTAACAGGTGTGAGGAGGAGGTTGCACCTTCAGCGCCAGCATGCCCCTCCCTCTCACGGTCGCACCTGTTGCTGTGCGGGGAGTGTGAAGTGGTGGGAAAGTTCAAGGGGTGTGGGTGGTGGGTGACTCGACAGCAACAACTTTCGACACGCCTCCTCCTCTCTCTCCTCATTGCCACTACTGCTGCTGTGGGGGTTGAGGGGGTGGTTTGAGTCCAGCCGCAGGATCACCCACCTCATCCTCATTTGCCCTCTTCTACTTCCGCTGCACTCTACATAATATACCCCATAAAGGGGCGTTACTACACTTTTACTTGCAAACAATTATGGGGGCGTGTCAAAAAATGTTTTACATATTTATAAAAAAGATTCTAGGTGTAGTATAGATATCTCATCCTGATTGTGGTACATCATCTCTCTCTTGTGTAATTTGGGCCTTTTGGCCCTTTAGTCAACATTCTCTCCACTTCTTCTTGGCACAACTCTCTTGTTCATCCTTGGCCTAGGCTACTAAGCTTAGGCCCTAACTTATGATATTATTCTGACAATAAGTCAAGAGCAATGTTGAATAAATTCTTCACATTCTTCATAGATGCATGGCTCGTCGATGAAAGTAGCGAACACTATGTGCACTAACGACCTTTGGATATAAACTAGAGCGACCCTCTAAGCATAGTTGGATAATCGTGGCAGAAGGCAAGTAGACCTGAATGTCAATACACCAAAGCCTACACTCATAAAATTAATATGTGATCGGCTCATAATTTTGAAATGCGGCCAAGAAACAGTGTCAATGCTTGTGTGGCTGTAGCCAGATTTGCGCAAGGTCCTGGTGTTTAAGGAGTGCTTGGGGGGGTGTCAAGCTAGCATAGCTAAGCATCGAAAGACAAAGGAAGATGAGGTCGGGCAATTTGAGGTTACACTTGCACGTGTAGTTGTACTAGATGAATACGACGTAAATGTGAGGGTATCAACTCAGCTGTTAGACGGATCCACGGTTATAAGGGGACCAAATAATTTTATCGATGTTCAGTGCTATGATGTGCAATATCTATAAGGATTTGACGCATATCTAATACGAGTTGCTCCAAAATTAGGGATAGACGAATGTGTGCAAATTACAACCGAGACATTGATAAGATGAGAGGCGATAGAGAGGGTTATTGAAGTTTGAGGTTGCAACGTCGAAATGGGTGGGGTGCTGAAACCTATCATTAAGATGGACTGGTGAATAATAAAGAGACTTAGAGATTGAAACTCATTATGTGTTGGATGGGTGAGTGGAAGAGAGGCTTGGGGGCCAAATACTTATCATGGGACCGATTGGTGAATGGGCATGAAGCTTAATGGGCGAAGCTTATAATGTTTTAGATTGGTGGGCGGAAGCGAAGCTTGAGGGATGAAACGCATCATGCATCGGTTTGGGGTTTAGGGTTTAGGTATTAGAGTTTAAGGATCGCAAATTGTTAACCTGCCCGTCTTATGTGAGTGGGTACTCAAATATTGCATGCGTTTTCTCTAACTTTGTCATTATGGGCGAAAAAAATGTGTAGACCAGTCAGTTGCACTTTTCTCATGCTCGTATGCAACGTATACACGATGTCATACGACGGACAAAGACCTTCAACCAATCGGGCTGAGCATGATCTGGTAGGTTCGACAGACCACTGGGCTGAAAACAACAAAATTGGTGGGCATATGGATGAGGTACCTAAGTATGTGGTAGAGCAATGAGCACCAGAGAGTACTGTTTAGGAGCCTGGGTCTGCTACCCATATGACGTTCAAAGAATAGTTGGCCGAACATAGCAGTCTGAAAGAAGTGGAGGTTTACGTGAAGGGGGCGCGGATAAACAAACCTTTTCATTTTTTTGTGATCGAGTACTCTCCAAAGTTCTGCACTAGAACCATAGTGTGTCACGCTTGGTTCGCGCGATCAAAATCCGGGTCTGAAAGACGACTAGGATACGGCGTGGCAATAAAGGAATGTATCGTATACGCAACGGACTAGAGCTGGCTGGATAAGCTAATGCCTGCATGGCAAAAGATTGGGTTAGGGCCTGATGATGTAGTTTCTCCGACGGAAAGATCAGAGGATGATGAACAGTTGAACCAGGTTCTAGATGATGCAACCCCTCTTACGTTGATGCCTGTTCACTTAGCCCCGCCAGCACCAGGACAACAGATCTAGCTTCTGACCTTTCGTACATACGGCCACCTCCCACTTCTCTAGCAAGGATCTGCTCATGTAACACAGACCTATAGAAAAAAGCCCTTAAAATCACAAATAAGACTCGGAATAAACCAATTCCCGCAAAGTGGTCAATAATAGTCTTAAAAACGTCAACATTACACACATATGATAACTAGTCTCTATGCTGGCCTTGAGTCTTGAATTCTTGGTAGATGAGGCTTTGGGTTGATGAAATGACTTTGCCAACAGGGTTGCTGGAGCATAGAGCACTTGTGAGGGAGAACTCTTGTATTATAGAGAAGATCATATCTCCAAATTGTTGTTTAGAGTTAAGAATAGCAGAATGGGCCATTAATCTCTTATCAAATTGCCTCCAATCCCCTTCCTAATTGATTAGTTGGAGTGGGATGTGAAGATGAGCTTGCTAGCTCAAACCCCCTCATTACACCCCTTGGGGAACCCTCCCAACCATGAAATCTTTTTTTTTTTTTGTTTAAGCACGGTAATACTGTATTTCGAACTGAACAACAGAGCTGCATATAATAATACCACAATGTAACAAAGCTACGCCATGAATTTTAGTGGGGGCGGAAAGAGAGGAGAAAAATAAAGAGAGTGACGAAGAAAGAAGGAAGAAAAATAGGAAAAGGGGAAAGAAAAACGGAAAACACAGCCTCAAAAAAACCCTAATAGCACAGCATCTAGGGAACCCCATCATGACACCCCAACAATACACCCCATCTAACCCAACCCCCCCCCCCCCCCCCCCCCCCCCCCCCCCCCCCACCTAGACCTGCCCTCTAAACCCGCATGTCTACCAAGAAGAGCGCATCCGCCCACAGAGCATCCCATCCCACCTTCTCCTCAATATCCTCCCGCACCACCCAAACAACCTCTGGGCCTCTCATCATCGACGCCGCGCGTAACAAGATAACACGGGCATGCGCCCGCTGCAAAGCCACTCCTATGCACCACATAAGAAATCTTTTAATATTTTCCTGCTCTATTGCGAATGCCCACCGATATGTCTCCTCGTAGACAATACAACCACCACCAACCCGGGTATGCCCTAACTCCTCGCCTGGGTTCAGATTTTTTTTTTTTTTTTTTGGCTTATATGAGCTATACACCAGAACAGAAGTGTACAACACATAAACAGTCGTAACTGCACGTGGGAAGCATTCTGCCTCGGAAAGTCCGATCCTCATACGTGGATCCGGGGCCTATGTGGCTTGCCCCACAGTGCTGCAAAGCTGTTCGTCCACCGCCAACTCCTGCCCTCCACTACCCGGATGCGATTCAGGAGACGCAGTTCCTGCTCAGCTACCACCTGCCACCTAGCTTTCTGTTTCTTCCCACCATGCTGCAATTTCCTCGCTGCAGCTCGCACGTAGATGTTAACATGCATGCGCAAGGCTGTTTCAATCCTCCGCAGTACCCGCCTTGTGCGGAATTTGCAGCCCCGAAAAGCCCCCTCGCATCGTTCCGCCCACAGTTGATGCAGCGCAATTGCTATCAAGGATGCCTCTGAGAATTTTGACGTGGAACCCGCCTTCCCGAACCAGTCACCAAGCGCCCCCACCCGCCTGGCCGGGTTGATCATGCGAAGGGCCTTGTTCACCGCAGAAACCACCACTTGAATCCTCGGGCACTCCGAAAAACAGTGCTCCAATGTTTCAAAACTCTGACAGTGGGGGCAGACTGGCTCGCTGCTGAGAAATGTGAGCCTCTCCCCAACCTTCAGATTGAGACTGTGAATTCGTAGTAGAACATCCCTCGGTCTACTGGGGGAAACCAGTGATTCCCGTGTTTTGACTGTCTTTTTCCAATCAATCCGCCCCCTCCATCTGCTTTCCCACTTGTCCCGCCTGGTCTTTCCGCTGCTGCCGTGCTCCCAGTGGGACCTGAAAGACTTTAGTGACGCTACTTCCCCTCCCACCAAGAGCTTTGTGCGCAGTTGTTTCGATCCTGCTCTCCCCGCCTCATACAGTTCCGCAAACCCCACCTGCGGAAGCTCATCCGAAAGGAGCGCTGCTTTCCAAGACTCTGGTGCAGCTGCAAACCCTTCGAGTGCCAACTTTGCCGCTTTCTTCCCCCGTAACTCTCTCTCTCTAGCACGGCAAGGTACTTTAGCTGGCCCTTCCCCGCCTCATCTCTCCTGACTAGATCCCCCAACCGCACATCACGCAGCTGCTTAGCTGCTTTTTGGCCACCAATCGGAGTGGTCCCTTTCCTGAGGATGTGCTTGTTAAACACAACCCTCTCAAGCAACACCTCCTCCTTGCTTCTTTCAATCCCCGTCAACGCCAGTGGGGAACGCATGAAATTCTCACACGCCAGCTTCCACCGTTGGCTTTTCGCCTCCCATGATTTCAGAAGTTTCTCATGCGCAAGGAAGGTATCTAGCCCAAGCGGTAAGTCTGCTGCCTGGCGCCAAAGGTTCCGCTTCAGTTGGTTAGTCTCCGTCAGAATCGTCCCAATCCTTCTGGCCGTGAAACAGGTAAGCATCGCCTCCGGGTCTTTTGCCCCCACCCCTCCTTCCATCACCGGTGTGTACAGCAGCTCCTTGCTCCATAAGAAGAAACATTTCTCAGATGTCACTTTATTTGCCGACATGAAAGTATGCGACAGCTTCGTGATGACCCCCCAAGTTTTTGCAGGCGGCGGATACACCTGAGCTTGAGACCAGGCGATGGGAAGAATATAACTATCCATAACTGCCCTTCTTGCCTTGATCGGGAGGTACTGCGGCTGCCAGAGCGACAGTTTCCCCACAATCCTTTCCAGTGCCTTATCCCACGTCGGTTGACAGCTCCCGCTCGGCATAACCCAGATACCAAGAAGTTTCTCCACTTCATCCGCTTCAGCCCACAGGAAGCTGTCCGTCCTCCAAGATCTCTTGCCAAGATTAGCCCCAATCGGCATCACCACTGACTTTGCCGTGTTTGTCTCCAGCCCTGAAATGCATTTGAACTCCTCGAGTATTTCTTCTGCTCTGATAATTTGTTGCTTCCCCTGCAGCAGAAGCGTGGTGTCATCAGCGTAACCGACATATCCAAGCCGCTGACCCGCACAGCTGGAGAGAGTGATCCCAACCTTCCGCTTCTCTACCACCCGTGCTAAAGGCTCCACCGCACAGAGGAACAGGTAAGGAGCGAGCGGGCACCTCTGCCTGACACCAGACACCACATCTACCGCTTCTCCCAGCCAGCCATTAATTAACAGACTCGTGCGTGTGTTCTCATGCAGGCCCTTCACCCATCCGACAAAACGCTCCGAGAAGCCCATTTCCCGCAGGATATCGAAGATAAAATCCCAGGACACCGAGTCAAAAGCTTTCCGGAAGTCCACCAGCAACATATACCAATCCTCCTTGCCATTTTTGGCCGCATCAATAATGTTCGCAACCAGCCCAACAGCATCCGAAACTCTCCTCCCATGTATGAAACCAAACTGCTCCGGCGAAATCACTTTGTGCAGTATTCTCTTGATTCTGCTCGCCATGACTTGCGCCAGCACCTTGTAGCTGAAATTTAACATCGTAATCGGGTGATAATTTTCTAACTGCTCCTTCGCTCCCTTCTTGTGCAGGAGTATAGTCACCGCATCCTTGACACTGGTCGGGAGCTTGGCCGTGACAATGAACTCCTTCACCAACGCCATAAGATGTTTCCCCAGCACATCCCAGTTCTGCTCGAAGAGCTCCTTCGGAATTCCATCCTTCCCCGGAGTCTTATTACATGCCATCTCCTTGAGGGCCCGCTTCACCTCCTCCTCGGTCCAATCCACCTGCAGGCATTCTGCGTCCAAGAACCAGAGCCTCCTCCCCACTGCTGGAACCCAGGACGAGACCGCTGTCCTTTTATCCTCCCCAAAGAGATCCCAATAGTAGCTCGATGCCGCCTCCAAGATCTGCTTCGGCTCCACGACCACACCCCCCGGTACTGCCAGTTCTGCAATCTGTCTTGACTCTCCGCACCTTAATCCGCGCAGACAAGTGAGGAGAGGGGACCTCCTCGACAAGTTCATTTGCCATGCCCGCCATGTGGTGAGCTCTCTCCCGCCGACATGCATGATACTCTTTCAGCTGCCGCTCACACTTTTGCAGCTTCTCTCGTAACAACTGATCTTTAGGATTGCCCATAGCAGCTTGCTTGAGCTCAGCGACTGACAATGCAAGATGATTAACCGTTGCTCTAATCCGCTTGCTCTCTTCCTTTGCGTATGCACGAAGGCTGGTATTCAGACGGGAGATAAGCGCCTCAAAACCACCGCCCTTTTCTGTCACCGAACGTTCCACCTCCTCAGTTATTTTCCGAGCTCCAAGTCTGCCCAACGTGGACGGGTGCATTCGCCATAAACCGGGACCGGTCCGCACTTGCATCTTAACTCTGAAGACCACACGCACCGCGAAGTCATGATCCGAAACCGGCTCCTCCGGCATAACATGTGAGGTCGAGATAAGACGCGGAAGCAGGGAGCGAGACACCAGCGCTCTATCAATCCGAGTGCTCTCCTGGTGCGCCTGCGCATAAAAGGTAAACTCCTTTTTAAAAGGATGTAAGGCGCGGAAAGCATCTGCAATGTCGAAGGCCTTGCAGCACTGGTAGAGATAGTCATTCTATCTTGATGAGCCTTTTTTCGATGTCTTGTCTAACAATGGATTTTCTACAATGTTAAGGTCCCCAATGATGAGCAGATTGGAACCTGGTGAAATCTGGTCAACCGTCGGCCCTAAAACTGTCCTGATGAACGCTCGTCTCAAAGGTTTGTCGGAAGGGAGGTAAGTCGCTATCACTGTGAGGGAGAAATCTGCACACCGTACCACAGTCTGTACTAATCTTCCAGATGGGTGAGCTAGCGGGTTATGAAAGGAGAGATCCGGCTTGCGGCTAAGGATTGCAACGCCACCAGCTCGGGTAACCGGTGTCGCAGCTGCGAAGGATGTGAGATTAAGAGTGGACCAGTATGGGTGATCTGATGCTATCCTAGTGTCCGAAAGGATCATGACATCTGCGGCTTTGGTGCTGTACGACCATTCCGTGGTACGTTTCCTCTTCGTGTTATCTCCCAGGCCGTTGACGTTCAGGCCCGCAAACGATAAACCATTCCGTGTATTTATTTAATAACTCCTTGTTCGCCTCTACGCATCCACAGGCAGGTAAGACAGAACACAGCGGCCAACGCCTAACCAACTATTATCATCATGGTGAGCTTCTCTGGCCCCGTCATATTCCATACTCCTTGCAAATCGAGTGCAAGTTTTCCTTCTCCCTTGTGATGCGAGTGACAGCACCAAGTTCTCCCTGACCATGCAGATGACGCGCAGAGGTGATGTGCTCTGCAGCAGCAACAAACAGCTTCCCGTGCGCCTTCCCGCAGCAGGTCTGCGTGCAAATCCACTCCTCTCTGAAGCTCTTAGTGGAAATCAGAATTATCGCCGGATCGAGCAGAATCGGGCGAACCAGGCGCGATGCAATCAGCGAGGCAGCTGCAACAGGCGGCCAGATGGTTAGTTTTCAGAGAACAGGTAAAAAACACCGTATCATAGAAGCAAGCTGCTGCACTGTTACCGTTAATCCTGTGCACACGATCTAGTGATAAATGCATCATGATACTTATCATAGTGCCATCCCCAACAGAGCCGACAGGAGAGCACAGGGTAATGGACCAAGAGCATCTTGCCCTTCTCCTGCGGATGATTGACTTGATGGATTTATCGCCTCTTCTTATCCTCCAGATGCGGTACCACTAGCCCCTTGATAACCCCTGTGTTAGCTCCAGAGACCGGGTGCACAACGCGATGGAAGCAGTAGCTCTCCAGGAAAGGAGTGACTTGACGAACTTTCAGCTTATACTACACCAACAACTCTTCAACAGCCTCTGGCGTGATGCTCGCAGGTACGTCCTTAAAAACCACTTCAATGGCACGCACGTTAGTAGCCTTCACCTTTGCGTAAGCCGCATTTTCAGTATGAAGCCAGTGTAACGGGTACGACGCTCCATTCAGCTTCTGGTATTCCAAGGCCGCTTGCCGTACTTTGGTAGCATCCTCTTCCTTCTGGAATGATAACTGCAGGCGACTGTACTTGTTTTTTGCGACGTATGCAGGGTGAATGTCCTGAAAATCAACCTTCGTGTTAGCGCCGTCATAGAGCAAAGAGGACAAAACACATTTCAGCAGCATCTGCACGGTGATGATGACCGAAGCCATTTCCGGTTGCGGCACCAAAGGCAGAAGCAGAATGGCCGTATAACGAAGCTTCGCGACGGAGTCCTTGGAGATCTCAAAATCCAGTTCAGTGTCGGAGTCATCATCAGTGAAGTCATCATCACTGCCACCATCATGCGCTAAGGTGAGTGCAGCAAGCTTCTCTTCCAGGGATAAACCAGAGCTTCCCGCAACTGGGGTAACCGGCTCATTCTCCTCCACTTGCTTCCCTTTATCTTCAGGACCCGAAGTAGCATCAGTGACTGCAGCACGCTTCGGCAACGGCGGAGCACGATCCTTGGGTGGAGGACGCGCCATGGGGCGATGATGAGACAAAAGCAGCAGCCGTTGATAAAGAAAGGCACGTAATGCCTGAGATGCTGAATGACTGAGCCCAGTAAAATATAGTTGCGTTGTTCCACCATCATCAGACCAATGTACAAGGTGTAGGTGCTGAGCTGTCCCTGATAAAGCCTGAGGATGATCTTCAGTAGCCTTGGAAATGCCATGAAATAAGAAGGTCCAATGACAACTCCGAAATGAAAACCCTTGGGAAGCACAATTGATTAACGTCAGGAAATCATCTGATAAAGCCTTGAGATGATATGGCTGTAGGAAACTGAACAGCAGATCCCGAGAATCTCTTGATACGATGTTCGCCTGATGAACATTATAAGTGTACCAATCAATTCGTCGCGATGAGACAAGTTCAAAGCTGCGTTTCTTAAAGCCAAATGATAACTCTGCTTCACGAAATGCTGGATTAAAGACCCTGAAGAAATCCATGGCGGCGAGCTCTAGAGTCATTGTCATTCGAAACGTTTGGGTTGGGTTGTCCCACCGCGGATCTCAGCCGTCCAGTCCCTACCACATAGGGGATCACAACCGGGAATAGGCTTCACCGGCTATCTGGGCTTGCACCGAATAGGTCTGTTTAAGGTGCACACCAGAGATACGACAGAAACCTTTATATTATCAACGGGAGAATACGGAGTAGCAGCGGAAGGCGAACCATTGAATGATATTTTTTAAAAAATGGCTCTACTCTTTACACTTCCGGGCCCGTCTATTCTGCTAGACGCTTATTCCATTCCCACATGCGGCTTGAACAACCGCATGTAACCTCCGTGCAGCCTTACTGCAGTCAGTTGTATGCGGCTTGGTAACCACATCCCCTCCTGTCGTTTGGACTGCCTCGGTTGATCCTGCATGCATCCGGACCGACTGATCCATGCCCACAACGGCCCGAGCGGTTGGCAACCGCAAGAAACCTCCGTTGACTCGTCATCGGGAAGCTGATCCGTCACGGCAGGCCAATTGCCGTTACAGTTATGACTCCTGCCGCATAATTTTTTGACGCCTCGTCGAAACCAGGTGGAATCTCGACTTTCGGCACCTTGTCGTAGTCGATTAGGAGTCCGGATATTGACAACTCGTCGAAGCCGATTTGAAACACAGTTAGTGGCACCCAGTCGAGACTGATTGGGAACGTTCGATAGACCCGTTTTTTGCATTCGCTTGTGATCTAGCCACCGTAGCTAGTCGCCGGGCGTCCTTGGTTGTCGAGTAGAACTTATCCTTCTTCGATTTGATAATGGCAGAGGAGGTCTACGTGACCTCCAAGCTCGGCTGTGTGGACTATCATGACGTTGATCTCCTCAGGCGACAGGTCCGTAGGGTCGGGTCTCTCTCTTGGGACCAAGCACGTTGGTGATTTGGGTGATCGAGCTTCATGAGAACAAAAGTAGTCCTTGGAAACAGCAAGCATGGTGTTTTCAAAGGAATTGACGTCAAAGGAATTGACGATGAAGAAATTGATGATGCAATTGAGAAATGACTTCTTGGTCGAGCCATCCCTTCTTATAGGGTCATTCCTTCTCTTCTGGGGCTCTGTTGGATGGATTGGAGTTGCTCAAGGGTCGTTTTGGAGGTTGCGGTTTGGGGAATTGGTGCATGGCGGCTCAAACGGTTGTCTCGGGCTGTAAAATGAAGCGTCGATGTGCAAGGGGTGAAAGCCTTATCATGGCGATGGCGATTTGGGGCGGTTACGTTTCGGGATGGCAGATGAAGCGTTGAAGGGCGAGGGTTGAAAACCTGACCTTGTAGGTGCTTTGTCAGTTAACAAAATGGCGGTTCGTGGCCGTTGCGCCTCGGGCTGGAAGATGAATCATTTCCGGCTAGAAGTGAAGACCCGATCCTGGTGATGGTTTGTAGGCGGAAGTTGAGTCGTCTCAGCTGATAGGACAGGAGTGAAACCCAACGCTCTGGCGATTGCAGATGGAGGTTGACATGACTCGTCTGCTAGATCAAGAGTGAAAACCGATGCTGTAACAGATGCAGTAGCGAATGGGTGGTGGTGCATGAACGATCGAGCGATTTGGTCTCGCCTGGCTGTAACTGACTATCGACCTTCTTGGTTGACTCGTGTCCAGGTTGTTGTAGTTATCTTCCCTGGCGGTTCGTCGCGTCGGGATCGGATGGTGGATGAGGGTATCGGCTTGCCCTATTCCACGTCTGATGAAACGAATGCCTCGTGCCTTTGATTCGTATTGGGAATTCTTCAATTGCTGAGAAGCGGACTTTGTCGCTCATCAGGGGCTAATTCTTCTTGATGAAATTCTGCTTGTCAATGACCGTTGGTTGTCCCCCCGAGTAGATCCGACTGCGTCCTGGCAGCGGTGATGCAGGGTCGGGCGTTTGGGACGATGAAGCGACGCTCGGCCCGAGAAGGCCCTTACTACGGGGGCTTATAAGGGACCACCTTCTCTTGTGGTTGCCAAAATTGCTTGTCGTCTTTGGTACAAGCCTAATTTGGTGGGTGTCGACGGTGGCCACATGGTAAAGTTGACAAAATCGATCAGGTTGTTGGCTCCAATACTTTTTGGGGTTGGCGGGTTCGACGGCGACAAATTCACCGACCTTGATGATGATATCTTCAGTCTTAGTGGTACTGCGAAGGTTGAAATTCAGCTTTTGTCGCTCTTGGGCTACGTCGGAATTCCTAGCAACCTCGTAAAGTTCCTGGCCATAAAGGCAGGTGCAGCTGTAGATAGTGGCAACCGCAGCCTCTACCAGTGTGTCGTCCGATAGATTTATGGGGCAGTGTCGTGGGGGCCGGTCCAAGTGATTGACGGTGGTCGTCCGTACTGCAGTTGGAATGGGGATTGTTTGGTGGTGTCATGAACAGAGGCGCGATATCCTAAGGGGACGAGCCATATGTTGCCGTCCCAGTGTAGAAGGTTAGCTCCCCCTAGTTGGCGGAGAGCTCCCTTGAGAGTCCGGTTGAAACGTTGGACTAGTCACTCACTCTAGAGGTGTTCGGGTGTTCCAAATGAATGGTAAATATTGAATTGTTGGAGGAGAGCGTTGACCTCTCCTCCGAAGTGGGCCCCATTGTCAGTGTGGAGTATCGCGAAGCATCCATGAGTACAAATTAGCTTCTCGATGATGAAACGGGTGATGTTGGCGAACATAGCCTCTTGAAGGAACTGTGCTTCGGGCCATTTGGTGAAATGATCGATAGCGATGACCGCATATTTGTTGCCACGTGGGAGGTTGACTACGTCCGCTACCACTCGGATCCACGGGGCAATGATGGGAACTGGTTTGAGGTCGGTTTTTGCCGAATAGCTCTACTTTTGGATGAAGCAAATGGGAAAATTTGCGATGAATTTTGCCGTCTCTTGATATATTCTGCAACAATATTAGTGGGCCTATAGCATGGAGTAAGTCTTATGTTCACCCAGATGACCCAATCCGTAAGCTTCAGCTATAAGATCTTTCCGCATTCCTGGTGGAGGGACGGAAAGTTGCTTGCCTTTGTTGAGCTTGTAAAGGGTTCCGTCGTTGAACTTGTAGATCTTGGTCCACATCCGAACCCTCTTCGTTTCCTCTTTGGTCCAGTCTGGGCTAGCCACCCCAGATTTGAGGAATTTGATGCTGTTTTTATCCTTCTAATTGTCGTTGTGACGCCCGGTATGTTCCTCGGGTTCAAGTTCGATCGAAGTATCATTTTCGAGGGTGGAGTCGATGTAATGCTCTTTGGCTGGTGGTTCAGACGTTTCCTCGGTCTCCATGAGACGTTTTCCTCGATCAGCTACTGAGGTGGGTAGCTTGAGGGTGTCGGTTCCAGTTGGGTCTTGTCCTTCCTGCAGGGTGTCTTCAGGGAGGTAGGTGGTGGGTTCGTCGGTTGCCTCCTCGGATTTAGCCTCGTCATCTTGTTCGGATTCGCCAGATTCCCACTCCTCTCCTCTTGTTCAGCGGATTCCGATTCCTCTTCTCCGCAGCCATGAACTGAGAGTGGTTGTCGATCATCTTTCTGCAGACGACCGGAATGATCTCGCTCCGGAGTCGACTATTGCCGTGATGCTGTGCCAGCCTATCTGCACTGGGTACTGGACGACCGAATATGAAGCCATATTCACCTTAAGGGCTTCTCTCTGCACCGCATACAATAGCAGAGGGTATACATTAGCAGCCATCGGGGTGTTGGTTGATGGTCCAGGTACCGCGGGTGCTGTTGTATCGTTTGTTAGCGTCTGCAGCACCTCGATCAGCTCCTTGCGAGCACGAGAGCAGTCACTCAGGTAATTCCAAAGGCCGGTGTATGCCTTGGTGTTTTTTAGTTGCTCGATGTGCAGATATCGGATGCTCGAGACGTTGGAACGAGAGACGAATCGTCGAGCAAGCGCCGATTATGCCTCGACGCAACAGCGGATCTCTTCTTGCGCCTCTTCCACCGTCCACCCTTGGGGATGCTGAACCGGATTTTGTCGGGTACGTTTGTCTCCGGTCAACGCGTAGGCGGCTATGGGGGATTTTTCCACCATGGACTGGCATCATATTGCTCGGATCATAATCTTTTTCGGGCAATCACGGACAAAGTGCTCGGGTGCCTTACGAACATGGCACGTGATCGGACCGGTCTTCCTATCATCGTCCGCTGTTACGGAGGGTGGCAAGATTGATCCATAAGGTGAAAACGCAGTTTCTTTATTTCTTCCGCAATAAGATTTGCTCCATTCTTGGGCTCCTCTTGGAACGAGACCCTTTGAGGAGCGGGAGCTGGAAGAGAAGAGGGTGCAAGGAAAAGAGGAGGAGGGGGGACCAAGAGACCTCGATATGGGTACCTGGTGTAGTATGACACTAACTCGTCAAACCGGACGTCTCGAGAGTCGAGAAACTGGTGGAGGGGTGGGTGGTAAAAGGAGTAGTCGAGAGAACCCACCGGGAAATCAAGGAAGAGACAGGGGATGGCGCGAGTTGAGATCTTGTATGGAAAAGGTATCCCGGACAAGTGCAAGGCAGTCCCAGACACGAAAGACCGACCCAACACCAGGGGGGCCGGTCCAAAGACTGGTCCGTGAAGCCTCTAGCCGCGAGACACGCGGCTCGAGGTTCGGCTGGTGCGCTGCGTAGTGCACCGCGTAGGGCCACAGAAAATGGGGCGCACGGGCATGGATCATGGACGTACGAGCGACGTCCATGACCATGCCAATGCGGCGCTTGCTCAGAAGCCCCATTCTGCGATGTATGATACCCTGCTCGCCACAGAACCCGGCAAGAATGCCAGAGCAAAACTCACCCCCACGGTCGGAGTGGAGACAACTGACATGACTACCACGAGTGCTCTCAGTGGCTAGAAGCCACCGGATCAGCGTAACAGTCACCTCGAACTTCTTCGCGAGAGGAAACACTATGGTATACGTGGAGAGTAAACGACAACCACTAGAAAGTAGCGCTCCCTCCCAGATCCCTGCGTCGGGGCAGGGCCCTAGACGTCCAAGTGGAGAGTCTGGAAGGGAGCAGTGGCCGGACAAAGGAAGGAGGAGTGCGGAGTGGCTCGCAGGCGACCGGCGAGGTGGAGCAAGCGAGCGAGGGAGCGACAGAAAGACGCGCGGGAGACCTGAGACAAGACTGTGTCTGGCCATGCTACGGAGGCGGGGGAGCGACGGGTGGCTAAGACGGTGGTGCCACAAGACGGTCGGGTGAGCTAGGGACCGACAGGAGCAAGACGCAGCAACTAGACCAGACACAGCAACCTGACCGGACACAGCAACCAGTGGGGACATAGTAACCTGACAGGACTCTGCTACCGGGGGGGACAAAGCAACCTGACCAGGCGCAGCTACCTGCGGGGGCGGAGTGTGCAGAACGAAGAGACCTGAGTGGGGCTCTCTGGTGAACGTGGCAAGAATTGCCCCGGTGGAAGAGTCCGTACAGATCGCAGTCCTCCCGTGCGCAGGAGAAGTGACTGTGATCCGCTGGTCCTGAAGGTATCCAACATCCGCCAAGTTCCAAGAGAACGAGGGGATGTAGAGACCAGTGAGGAAATTAGAGGGGTCAGCTGGGCATGGGAGAGTGGTTGAGCTGTGAGCAACTGCTGACCCTGAAGTAGGATCACCCAGGGCAACTGGGACTGGAGCCGAAAGGGGTGTGACAGTGGTGTGTTCGCGGAAGAAGCACTGAGACGCGCCGGAGTTTAGCGTGAAGGAGAGTGACGCAACAGCAATCGTCACGGCTGGGCTAGTGACTACACAAGCACATACACTAAAAGCACAAGTACCTACACTAGCAACGGGCAAATGTTCTAAGCTAGGTACACGCAAGCGTGACAGAATAAACATCAACCATAGACATATTAAACACAGGGTAATCACCACGAAACAGACCGGGCCAGATCGGGGGAGCCGACTTAGGCCCAAAACGCTCACGTTAGAGGTCGTCGAGGCGACTGTAGCAGCGCTGTGCAGAGTGGTCACGACAAGCCCCCAAGCTAGCTGGGCCGCTGCTGCAGCCAACGCTATCCGAACCACCAGGCCCCCATGGCTGCTGAAGGCGCCACAGCTTCTGAGGGCAGAGCTGCTGCTGAGGGCGCCAGTGCTGCTGCGGGTGCCACTGCTGCTGTGGGCGCCACTGCTGAAACTGTCGCTACTGTTGTCCCTGCTCCTGACGCCATGATAAATGCTAGGAGCGACAAGAGCTAGGGACGGCTGCAGTGAAAAACCAGAACAGCTAGGAGCGCCATGTGAAACTAGGCGAGGAACGGCTGGAGCACGGAGCAAACTGAGCTAGAAGCGAGGAGCGAGACCGACAGGAGCTAGAACGGCTGGACCTAGGCACGGCTGGAGCTAGAACGGCTAGAGTGAGAACGGCTGGAGTTAGACACGGCGAGCTAGGCACAGCTTGACTAGGAGTGGCTGGAGCTGAAACGATTGGAGCTAGAATGGCTGGAGCGAGAACAGCTGGACCTAGGCATGGCTGGAGCTAGGAGTGGCTGGAGCTAGAATGGCTGGAGCTAGACACAGCTGGAGGTAGAAACGGCCGGAGCTAGAGACTGTAAGTGCGGCTGTCAGCTGCCGCTAGTAAAGCCGCTGGCAATGGAAAGTACGTGCGGCAGTAGGGGCTGCAGTACTGACGGCTGCGGGTTGTAGGGAACTGTGCAGGCGACAGTTGCAGCCCCCCACCCTGAACCCTCTCTTTTTTATAGGGTTTAATTAATTTATTTATTTTTTCTGGCGCAAAAAAGCGCTGCGGGGCGCGCTGCCTGCATGGTGTGTTGCCTGCAGGGCGCGCTACCTGCGGGGCGCGTTGCCTGCGGGGCGCGCTACTCGCAGGGCGCGCTACCTGCGGGGCACGTGGCCTAGGGGCAAGGCAATGCGCGGGCTAGGGGCAGGGTGCACGGGTGCGCACGGGCTAGGGGCAGTGCGCACGGGCGACGTGACGTGCTGGGGCAGGGCGCACGGGCTACGCGACAGGCTAGGGCAGGGCGACGGGTTAGGGCAGGGCGTACGAGCAATGCGACGGGCTGGGGCTGGGGCCACAGGCGACGTGACGGGCTGGGGCGGAGGTGCGATACAGAGGGCGTGGAGGGCGCGTAGGGGAGGGCTAGGCGCGGAGGCGCGGATGGGGCGCTACGGAGGGCGCGGAGGGCGCGTTACGGAGGGCGGAGGGCACGTTACGGAGGGCGCGTTACGGGAGGCTAGGGCGCGGAAGGGCGCGGAGGGCGCTCGCTAGGGCGCGTGACGGAGGGCACGTAAGGTGTGGAGGCACTCTAGAGCGCGGAGGGCGCGGAGGGCGCAAGGGCGCGTAAGGCACGGAGGCGCTCTAGGGCGCGGAGGGCGCGAGTTAGGCTAGGCTAGGCAAGGATCCTAAACCTACTCGTGATACCATCTCAGAAAGTGAATGCAACTGAATGAATTAACTAGGCAGCAGTAGGATACAAATAGGAAATCCTAAGTGGGTTATCCCCTCTAGAGAGCACCTCATTACAGCCTATAACAAATAATAGCATTTGACATCACCTTCAATGGTAGTTTTTTATGCTGTTATAGAGAGTCCTCCGTGTCCTATAGCTGAACTAAAACGGTAGGCCGATGCCGCGGGACCACGCATTGTTGGGGTGCAGGTTCAAGTTTGGAAAACCCCCAAGGCAACTCGAGGCAACTCCGAAATTTGGAGTTGTACGCGCATGAAGTGCCTCAGTAAGGAATTAGGAAATAATCTTTATATCTGTGATGCAAACTTCTAAGCGTAATATATTAGACAATCACTGTTTTGGATGTTATCAGGATTCGCGCCATGTTCGGCGAGTCTCACAAAATGGTCCACGCTGCTATTGCTCCCCACTTCGCTGTGGCAGCCGAGTCGCGGTCTGATTGGAGGTTCGGGCCGCAAGGGGCAAGAACGACATGCGTTCAATTTCGTGGCTGAGGGGCGCTAGGGACAGGCGGGCGGGGTTGAGGACGAGCAAACTACCTGCTGCTGGTGCAAACCCCTCCAAAACCGCACTCTAAAGCGCGCCGAGTGGGCTTCGAGGAACTAGAGCGGATCGTAGCAGCTGGCTCGACGAGATTCCGTGGCAAGAGGCAAACTCGAACCACCTGCATCCCTTTCCCTTTCCACCGCACATTCCACCCCTGCCCTCCTCTCACGCCGTGTGACATCGCTTGCACCCTCGCCGCGAGTCTTTGTTCACCCTTCACGCCGTCACCTCGCCCTCCGCGTCGCACCGTACTCCGCCCGTCAGCATTCAGAGGCGGCACTCGCCGCTACCTCGTCCAGCCCCGCTTCCTTTTTCACCCTCAATACCCCCCACTCTCCCGACCGCCCCTTTCCCTTTGCGTCGTCCTAGTAAGAAGCGCGCTTCCCTAACCCCCTCTCTAACCCCCTCCCTCCTCTCCTCTCTCCCCCTCCCTTCCCACTTCGCGCCCCGCCGGTCGCCACCCGCGCACAGTCCGCCTGGGTACCAGTACCGGGAGGGTTACGGCGAGGCGAGTGGGTGGTGGCACATCCACCTGCCGGGGGCGGGTGGTGCGCGTCGCTCGACAAGTGCTTGGCGCGCTCCAAGACCAAGCTCGGCTCCACGCGCGGCCTGCAGAACGGCATGCTCACAGGGCGCAGCAGCAGAAAGGCCAGCAACGACAACGGCGACCCGGACGCCGTGAGTTGCTCATGCCACCTTGCCCTTCCCTGCCCGCCATCCCCCTCCTCCTCGCCCGCGGTCTCCCCCTTCCTCAATATTTCTTTCCCCAGTCATCCCTATTTCATCTCCCTTCTTCCCTCATTTCCCTTCTCTCCTTTCTCCTACAGTCCAACTCCCCCATGCCTTCCTCCACACCTCAAACAGTGCGGCCGAAACGTCCCATCCCTCCCGGCCGTCCCATCCCTCCCCAGCCGGCAATCTGTGCGGCTGATGCGCGAATTCGAAGTTGCGACATCTGCTCATTCTCGTCCCCCTCTCTCCACCCCTGGCCTCTCACTCTCCTCCCTGCCGGCCGCGTCCTTCTGTCCCCTTACTTTACACCCCTCCCCCTTTGTCCAATACGTGCAGCCCCCGCGCGGCATAACGAGTGCGGATGCCGCCACGAACCCCACCTTTTACAACTGGCACCTCGTGCGCCCCATCTACTGCGACGGGGGGGGCTTCGCGGGGCGCGCGGGGTACAAGGCGGCGGGCAACGGCAGCGAGGGCGTGCACCTCGACGGCTGGCGCATCATCCACGCCATTCTAGGTGGTGCGTCACCCACGCAGATTTCAGTGGGGCACCGCTGCACGTTGTTGCCTGAGTGGAAGCCCACTGCAGCATCCATGTGCTTGCATGCTGCTGAAAGACGAATCATCACCACTGGTTTTCGCCCCTCCGCTCTACCGCCAAGTGATCATTCCCTTCCCGTCCCCCACCCCACCACTGCCCCTCCCCTTCACGTGTCCCCATGCACCCATCACGCGCATGTCCGGACAGATTTGCGCACGCGCAGGGGCATGTCAGCGCCCACGCGCATTCTGCTGTCGGGCACGTCCGTGGGCGGACAGGTGATGGTCCCCCTCCACCCCCACTAACCATCTCCCCCCTCTATCCCCCGTTCCCCGCCTTCCAGATTTGCGCGCGAGCAGGGGCATGACGGCGCCAGCGCGCATTCTACTGTCGGGCAGCTCGGCGGGCGGGCAGGCGGTGGTGACGCTGTGCGACTGGCTGCCGCTGCTCTTCCCGCGCGCGCTCGTCAAGTGCATCATGGACGCCGGGCTCTTCGTGGGTGAGCACAAATGGGGCTCTTCGTGGGTGAGCACAAATGGGGCTCTTCGTGGGTGAGCACAAATGGGGCTCTTCGTGGGTGAGCATCGGGGAGGCGGGCTTTGTATGGGTGGGAGCAAGTGGGGCTGTTAGCGCGAGAGAGCAATTGGGACTGCTCGTGAGGCGCTTCGTGGGTGAGCGTTGCTCGTCGTGGGTGGGAGCAAGTAAGGATGTTGGCGTGTGAGAGCATGATAAATAAGTAGAGCTCATTGGTGAGTCTTCCGAGTGAGCCCCACCTCACTTGCCCACCCATACCCTCACCCATACCCTCACCCATACCCTCACCCATACCCTCACCCATACCCTCGCCCACCCACCGTGCCCACTCCTCGTGCCCATCCTTCCCCCCACACCAGATGCGGAAGACCGCACAAACCGGCGGGCGTTTGCAGCGATGGTAAGAGCGACTGTGGGGCTGCACAACATGCGAGTCAATTGGCGCTGCAGTCAGAGTGAGTCAACTGGCGCTGCAGTCAAAGTGAGTCAACTGGCGCTGCAGTCAGAGTGAGTCAACTGGCGCTGCAGTCAATTTGAGTCAACTGGCGCTGCAGTCAAAGTGAGTCAACTGGCGCTGCTGTCAAAGTGAGTCAACTGGCGCTGCAGTCAGAGTGAGTCAACTGGTGACATGGTGATGCTTCCTCTCCCCCTCCCCTCCCGCCTTTTTCTCCCCCTCCCCCCCTTTCTTCCCCCTCAACTTTCTCACATTGCAACCGCCAACCCTCTCACTGCTACCTCCCCCATTTTACCCCCTCCCAACCCCGTTCACACAGCCATGACCCCGGCCAACCAGTGGCAGTGCTTCTTCCCACACCAGGCTCTGCGCTTCGTGTCATCGCCCGTGCTGGCGGTGAATTCCCTGTTTGACTACCGCGCGCTCATGCTGGGCAACCAGCTGCCCGCCAACCAGGCGCAGGCCACGGCGTGCCTGCGGCAGATCGCCAAGGAGGGCGGCACCGACCTGCTCAAGCTCGTCAACAGCCAGACCTGGCGCCAGGATAGGTCCGCGCTCGCGGAGATTCAGTCAGGGGGGGCGTTGTTTCCTGGAGGTGATTATACGGAGGGTAGTTTGGAGAATGGGTTGACGAGTACTGTGGAGGAAGGGGACAGTCCTGGGAAGGGGAAGAGCGGGAAGGGGAAGGGAAAGGGGAGTGGTGGAGGAGCAGGAAAGGGACGATAGGTGAGGGGATCCGCAGGTGCAGCAGCAGCTGAAGCGCCCGTGTGCGCGCCTGAGGAGCACAGGGCGGTGCTGAATGTGGCGTGGCAGATGATTCAATACACCGATGCTGCTTCCCTCGAGCTCGGACCCACCGTTAGCACGTTTGTCACGCCTGCAATCGCGCACTGCGCACTGACCAGCCCAAAATGGGACTCACTGATGGACAAAGGCGTGACGCTTAGAGATGCTGTCACAACATGGTATAAACGGCCCCTTTGATCACTGCTGGTCTAAAAATAAATTAGATACACAGTTACACCTGTAAGCAATTTCAGTTCCTTACTGGGGCTGTACTAACTCCTGGAAAGGCATGCCCGCCCAACTTCCAGAACTTTGAGGTTGCCTAGCTTGAAACCAGAGACTTCCCTCCTCCCTTCACACATAATTTTGTTTCATCTGCTATAAGCGAGCTATTTTATTGTGTGAAGTTTAAAAGGCTGTGGTCTGAGAAGGGAACGGATGTGAAGGGTTGACAGAAGGATCTCGGGAAGCGTAGGGAGCGGGGGAAAGAAAATGCACGGTAGGAAATGCTTTTTACACGCAAGGTGAGCACCAGATTCATGGAATTGAAGGGCATGGGGGAGGGGAAGAGTAGGGAAGGGAAGGAAAGGGAAGGGAAGGGAACGGAATGGAAGGGAAGGGATGGTAAGGGTGGAAGAGAAGGGCGAAATGCAAGGATGGGAATGGAGGGGAAGATATGGAGGGCAGGGTGGTGTGATGAAGGGGAGGGAAAGGGACGGATTTTGGGAAGGGACGGACAGTTGGTGACGAGGCATAATGATGGGAGGGGAGGCGTGACGAAGGGAGCCGCGACAATGGGAGGCGCGACGACGGGAGGGGAGGGAAGTCGCGTCGCGATGAAGAGGGAGCGGAGGCGCGACAGGGGGCGGGACGAGGAAAGGCGCGACAAGGGGAGGCGCGACGAGGAAATGCGCGACTAGGGGAGGGACGACTGGAGACACGACGAGGTGCGCGAGCAGGCGTGGAAGCGGGGCTACACCCACCCTCGCACCGACACTCACGAGTATGTAAACCGCCTCGGGGTTTGGAATGATAAGCTTCTCGCTTCTGATCTGATACGTTACGACAGGTTGGCGAGGTTGGCCTTCACGCCTGGGTGACTCCCCACGTCCATGGACTACATTTTACGTCCAGGTGGGTTCTCAGGAATCATTCACAGTAGCTCGCCTCGCCAACCCTAACTACTCGTCGTTTCGGTTAGCGCACGTGAAATAGTTTCGCGCAAACTGGTTTTTTTACTCCTGTGTGCAAATGTATACGCCAGCGAAGATCGGGTGAATGCTGAGAGGAGGAAGAGGTGCTGAAGAAGTTGCTTCAACTTGCCATCACACGCTTGGAGGTCTTGCGGTACATACATCGGAGAAGATCGGGGTTGGTTGGGTAAGTTGAAATCAGGTTGGAGTCAATTTTGCAAGGCTTGGGCTGGACAAGTGGTTGGTGAAGTTGTTTTCATGAACGTGCGCTTGATTCTTTCAAGTTGAAAACCCTGAGCCGAAGCGCGTTCGGTTCGGAACCGTTTCCGTGAACATGTTTTTGAGTTGCAAGGTTGATACTAGCGTCCTCCGTAGAACATCGAAACCCTACGTGGATGTCGCAACTCTAAAATTGTAACAGCGTTACACTGAAATTGTAACCTTCACTCACTCACTCAAACTTTAACTATAAATTCGAAAACATTAAAGGGAACAAAAACCCCAAAATGGGGGTGCTATTCGCGAATAGGGCGTGCATGTAACGAGTGCTGGTAAACAAGGAATTCGACATATGCCTCCTGTTGCTATTACTGAATGATTTGTACTTTTGTTACACAAATAATTAATCTACACCAATAATCATAAACACCATTTGTAACAAACAAATTCCTTACAACAGTAGTCAATATTAAATACAATTTAAATTAGCAAAAAAAGAGATTTTTATTAAAATTAGAGTTAAAACATTGTTATATAAAAAGAAACAAAGCAAAACAAAACCCACTGGAATAACTCCTACACCCCATGTCCTTCCAGTGTCATCCCTTATTCAGGCACCTCATCCTCATCCCCAGCAAGATCATTATCAAGCACATCCATGGAGACATCAGTCCAGTTGAGAAGGTAAAGACGGCCAATGAAAAGGCCACCATCTGGACCACGTACAGGCTGAACACGGTTGATGATTCGCCGGACGACGCGCACTTGGCGAGAGATGGCATCAGGATCACCCGAGCGCTCCAGTTTGGTCTTAACAGATGTCGGATTCCGAAGCTTGTAGCGCACCTGTTGTTTAAATAAGGTTCTTATGGTTAGCGGATTGGTTAACAAAAAATGGACATTGCATTTTTAGAAAACACTTACAACAGCAAGGCTGAGGCACAGTTGTTCGCCTTGCAGACCAATAATTGCGTTGTTGGATTTCGCTCCTGCCCAGACCTTGGCCACAGCAACAAATGCGTCACTGGAAAACGGAACACCAACCTTTGCATGCCAAGGTGCTCCTTCCTCCCCTGCACAGATTTCGAAGAAATTGACAAGTACAGTTAGAGCTCAACATGTACAGGACAAATTGTTTCGTGGGGAGCACATATACAATTATGACAACTTACTTGTAGCATGGAATGCTACCCAATCCGCGCAGTCCTGTGCAAACGAGAAGGATGGATTCCTGCCACCATTTCCCTTCAGCTCCAAAAGAGGGTCATGAGATAGTGCAGCAATACGAATATCAGATAGTTTCTTGCCCAACCTGTTGTTGTACGTCTCCTGAAGTTTATCCACATGACCACCATCCAGAGCCTCTCGTTTGAACGAGAAGCTGGACTCATGATCAGGATTGAGTCCTGCACAAACTGTGACCAAAGGAAAAGATATGTCAAAGTAAAAAATGACATGCAGTCAATGGGAAAAAAAAAGGAGAATAAGACAATTTATTACCACAGAGAACGTTCGCCCAGGTGTCATCATTGGGCACGAAATTGATCATCCCCGGCTTCGTTAGCAGCGCGCTGACAGCTTTCTTCCGTAATTTCTGGATGGTAAGGAAAAGTGGCAGAAATGGCATAGGGTCAATGACATCCTTACAAAGTGCTGAAGTCTTTTTAATGCTAACGATGAACCTACTATCCAATCCCGCGCAGGCTTGGTGACTTCTGCGAGCTGTTGAGTAAGAGTGCCTATGGTGACCAGCGCCTGCGCAGCAACGGCACTCTGCTGCTGAAGCACTTCCTTGGCTTCCTTCGCGGCTTCGTCAGACTTGTGGGCCTGGAGGCGAATATCATCCGAGACTTTAGTCTTCTTGGTTGGAGGTTCCACATATCCAGGCGCCGTGCAGTTATCTTTTCCGGTGACGAGGTTGAGAAGACGGGCCCCAGTTTGCGAATATCCTGAAACAAACATGGACAGTGGTGATTAGTAGGCGCTTTGGCAAGTATAAAGCAATGACTCTTATTCTAACTTACCTGCTGGAACCAGTACACTGGTATTCACATTTCCGGTGGCAGCTTGGGTGTTCGGTGCGGAAAGGCCGGATCCTACATTATTTCCTGTGTTAGGTGCGTCCGATGCTGGAGCATTGATGACATCAGATAGAGCAGACTAAGCCAGTTGTTCTGTCGCTGAGAACCAAACCAAGAGATATATTAGATTGAAGTATATAGCATGTATTTTAAAAAAACGCAAGTACTTACGTTGACTGGTTTTCGGGTCCTTGTTGTTGGCACTGGTGTTGTTGTCTTTAATGGCAGAACGTTTTTTTGTTGGGGGTTTTCCCGTCATAGGAAGGGACCCGCAATCCAACTCTTCCTCCGCTACAGCATGGGGAGAAGCACCTGAAGAAAAAACAGCAGAAACACAAATGATTCAGAGAGTTGTTGCACGATCCAAGTTGGAAACACACATGCTGGAAAGAAAACGTGCCTTCGGTTGAGTTGTTGTACACAACGTTAAGAGGAGCAGAATGACCCCTGCCTCGTCCCGACGAGGACTGCCTAGCCACTGCAAACGCCATAGCAGGCACTTGGTTGTAATTGTTTGGCATGTTGGTTTTGAAGGAAGCTCTAAGGTGAAATAGAAAGAAAACTGAAGTTGAAATTAGCAAGCCACTGGGCTTTATAGAGCTGAGATGGTCACTTACTTTCATAGTTAAGTGGTGAGGAGGAGTTGTAAGGAACTCATTGACAGTTGTTACGATATGAAGCTTTATGAGAAGGCATTCCTGTATGCTGCAGGAGCCGACTCTACCGAGTACGAAGTCGAGGAGTCAGAAGAGTCGAAGCGACACAGCAACCGTCTGACTAAGACCGATGCAGGCAGAAGCATTTGAAGTGAAAAGAGCGGGAACAGGTTTGAAACTGATTCCCGCGCCGCACGGTTTAAATTTCGCTGCAATAAGGGAATGTACCCCTTAGAGTACATGGCTAGTCTAGGTCGTTTCGCATTCCTTTGTATTTCTATATAAACCCAATGTATGCATGCTATTATCAATCTCAGTCATTTACATTCACTCTGACCTGAGTTCACTACTTCCGCTGCGACACTACCTGCGATCAACCCTGAACGATCCTTTCGGACAAATCTCACTTCAGATTGTAACATGGTATGAGAGCTGCTCAGGGATTCTTCGCAACGTCAACTCCGTAAAATTCGCCAAACCAAAACTGGCGAGCGGCACACGTTCCAAGACCAAGATGGCCGGAGGATCCGGAGGTCAAACAAATCTAACGGCCGAAGGACAAACCAACCCGGCTGCGACAAATGAGGCGACAACTACGATTGGCACTGCCGCGCTCGAGCAGTTATTCGCTCGACTGTCAACAATGGAGAAAGAACTCCAAGATCTGCGCAAAGGCGATGCGGGAACCACTTCCCAACCAGTTCAACCTGGACAACCGGCTGCGAAAAGCCGCGATACCGCCGCGCACGGCTTCTCCCTCGACTCAGACAAATCTGCAACAACTGCCCCTCGTCCAAGCGACGAAACCATCAACTCTGCGCAAGCACGCTTTCTCAGTGTGTCAAAGATCAAGACTACTGCCGCGTTTGACGGCAAGGATTTTTATACATGGAGTTTTGAGCTTGAGCTCCTCCTACAGACAGCGCAGATCTACCACTACTTCGACGGCTCCTATCCTAAACCGGTGGAAGACACCGAAGACGCCCGCGCTCAATACTACAGTGAGTCGCTCATGGCGTATAGCGTTCTGCTGCGCAACATGTCGCCGG